GATTGATTAGTATCTGAATCTTAACATGGGGAGTTAAATAAGGTTTTATGGAAGAATTTCGAAGTTGAACTAAGGAGTGCAATTACGAATTTTTAATGGAATAATTCATAATTTATTATGGTAAAAATTAATTTTGAAATTCGAAATTAATTCTATAATAGGGAGCCTTGTTAATTAAATTATGTGGTCCCTACCGTGCCTAAATACTAGGAAATAAAGGAAACATTTCCTTTGTGGAAAAGAAAACCCAACTGGTTTTGAAAAAGGGTTTTACCCTAAAAACGTGGCTTTATATACATGGTATAGGGCTGGCCGTTTTTTTTACACAAATTTTTCTTGGAATTTTGCCCACCCGAAATTCTCTTTCTAGATATTATTTGGGTAATACAGTAGAAGATTGTGGAACGTGTTTTGGACGTCGTGAGCTTGCTACTCTGGAACACGCTTCAAGAGGTAACTCGTATAATTGACATATATGTGCTAATTGTTTAATTTACACGTGAATATAATACTGAAATTGCTTCCACTGTGATATATAATCCAACACTCATGTGCCTAAACTTTAAGAAAAGAATATTTATCAAATCCAAATTTCTTTATTTTCCCGTTGATTAATCTACGCGATTTTCTAGTAAGGTCACTATTTCAAACCATTTCACGTTTTCCTTTGAAAATGTTATTAGAATACTTTAGAAAATCTTTTTCTGGATTACTTTCGCTATTGAGTTTAATTATTAAGGTAAATGACAGATGATAATCATACAAGGTACAAGGTGTACGATACGTGCAAAACAGGAACTTCCATGATTTTTTGAGCTAAATTTAGTAGCAATATTCAGGTGTTGATTGAAACAAGTGATACGGAATCAAAATTGGAAGTGTTTATAGACGGGGGAAAAAATACCCACAAGTGGAAGAATGATTTTTCTCCTCTTAGTGAAAAATATTCTCCTTTTATTGCTGATTACTGGGTACAAACTGAACCAGGAAGAACAATTCATCTTCATCTTCATAGTACAGAAGACAAATTAGCTCTAATGTTCCTTTCTCTCTTAAATTATGCATAAGAGATTCATATCAGCTCCAAGGTTTACATGCATTACTGATTGGTTGAAAGCACTGGAGAACGGAGATATATGGGACTTCGGATGCTTTACAAATATTCATGCTTTTAATTGCTAATTCTATAAGCAATAATACCCAAAAATCTGAAACAAATGGTTTTCTATAGTATAGCATCTATCTGCGATTCATTGAATTTTGGTTACACAGGAAAAGTTTGCGGATAGAGAGGTTTTTCCAGATACAAAACTTCAGCAGAATAAAAACAACAACTTTGTATGCAACAGCCATAAGAAACAGCACCAGTAAATTCTTCCACTTAGCGTTCTTGTCATCGGATATATCATAGATATTTTCCAGAGCCTCATAACCAGATATGTTTCTCACCTGCCCAACAGCAAAAGAAGTTCCAACGTACTCGTTCTCCAACAGTCCCTGGTACAAAGAAAACTTTTAAGTTTACTTGAGAGATAAATAGTGATCAAGAATATACACTTAATGAATTCAAGCAAATTCACAAACTTGCCTGGATAGAGTAAGTATGAAATGCAATATAAGATATGGGGTACATCCATACTGGTCCAGGCAAAGAACTTCTGATTCTAAAAAAACCAGCAGAAAGCATCATTATCACCTGAAACACAAGAAATGATAGCCGTTTAATGGAAAAGTTAGGTCTCGTTTCAAATAATATTCCTACTAAAAGAATCCTATCTAATACTAGCATTGCAAACATTCAGATGCCCAACTTCCTCGATTCCCCTTTTAAGAAAATTGACCCTTATGACAAAGTAGAAGCACACACAGCCACCATCATCACTGCCTATTTTCTAATCAATAGAATATGACAATATTACACCAAAAGGAAAGGCAACGAACCTATTGTCAACTTCATCAATGATTTAAGGCAGAACTTACATGTATGGACACAAAACTTAAGATGCTCCAGAAGATATTTTGCCAAATGGAAGCAACAAGCAGTAGCAACCCCTCGTTTACCAATAGACACGCAAAGAAATTCAGCACAAAGTACATCAGCAAGCTGAACTCATTCCGCAGCCCAATAAGAAAATAGAAGACCAGACTTGACGAGATGGAGATAAGAAACAAGAAAGGCATGCTGGCAAAAAGCTGCCCAAGTAGGAAAACAAATGCCCCAGAATGCTGGTTTGATTCTTCACAGGTGTATATCTGCAAGTCATCAAGATGTTTGATTAGGGTTTTTCTTTTAACTGGACGAGATTACTAACAGCCCATTATCAGGGCAAATAACAAAACCAACTTTCCAAAAAGCAAGGAAGAGTTAATCGAAACCAATGACAAATTGAAATGTTTAACTTGGTATGAAGAGGATACTCACTATCTAAATGCTCTATTTTGCAGTGGAACAAAATACAAGACCTATATGTCATTGCGATATCAGATTTTCCCACTTAAGCTATGCATCTTTAGTACATGATTAGATTATTACTGCTAATTATGTCCGTAGCACAATCAACATATAAATGCAATGTTAATCATCAATATCGCACCTCACCAAACATACTAAAGGTTCCCAGCTGCTTTGGGAAATCAAGTTCGAAGGCTTGCTTGTCAGGACTGATGAGTTTGAAACGGGAGTATGATTCAATAAACCAGGCCAGAAATGTGACAGTCCTAGTGAAAAGTCGAGATATTTCAACCATTGGCGAAGCCTAGTTCTGAGAATTTTAGTCGCTTCAACTCCGCACTTGTCTACATTTCTCCCCACTAATTTGAACAAGTTTGAATGAACAACAGTGCTTTGGATAACAGATAGATTACAGTAAGAGTGGAATACGGAGATTATGACACTACAAAGGGAAACTTTAGTACAGGTTCTTCAACTTGAATTCCATGTTTGGTTCATGAGATTGAAGAAGAGACTGGAATGAGGATCACACTTCTGTCCCTGGGCATTCCAAATGACCATAAGGTGTATGTATAGTCCAACGCTCAGTCTACCAAACAACCCTTGATTCTTAAATACACACATGTACTGGGTTCATTTAGAACTGGCGTTTGCATATAATAAGTTTCATAGAAGCATGCTTGCGCAGTATCCAGAAGAAACACGAATAAGTTACTGACATCACCTTGATCTCTTTCAACTGGGCAGGTACACCAACGAGGCCTAGCAGAGAGGTGAACGAAACAAATATAAATATTGCTGCTACTCTTGTCTGCATGGCAAGAAAAACATCATAGTTTGCAAACTGAAAACAAGGGCAAGCAATGGCAAATAGTTTCCATCAGAAAAATATCAAACAGCAATATCAAGTCACTCCTATGTGATTACAGGAAAATAGAAGTGAAAGGGTTTTCCTCATGCTGTCCAACCATAAATGAAGAAATACATGCAGTTCTTGAGTTAGTTAACTATGATCGGTTTCAACCAAAAAAGCGGGAAAAGATATACTTCATGGGCTGTGTAAACAGCAAAACCTGGAGGATGTGGTGCACAAACATCATACGGATGGACAACTGAATTAGACATATGCAAAAGGAAAAAGACACGTCTGATTCTTTAATTATTAGC